CTATTCCCATTTTCTACAGCTTTTGTCTTCTAACATTACTAGACGCTGAAAGAATTAGAAGTCAAAAGTTGTAAACAATGGGAATATAGAATTAGACGCTCCTGTCTAATTTTCTATTCCCATTTTCTACGACTTTTGACTTCTAATTTTACTAGACGCTGCAAGAATTAGAAATCGAAGGTTGTAAAAAAATGGGAATCGAAGGGTAGACGGGAGCGAGTCTAATTCTCTATGCTGCACGATGCAGGGCTGCGGGGTCATGGGCAAGAAACTGAAGGACGGCTTCGAGTGCCCGACCGAGGGCCAGGTTGACAGCAGAGGCATGCTGGTCGACCACCCGAAATTTGCGCATCCCGAGGACTGTCAGAAGTTCTACGTATGCCTGAACGGTGTGACGCCGCGCGAGCAGGGCTGCAGCGACGGCACCGTCTACAACGAGGAGCAGCAGAGATGCGACGCGCCCGAGAACGTTCCCGGATGGTACGAGCTGTTCGCTACATTATTAATCCGTCGTTACATTTCTATATTGACATGACGATCTAGCGTATTAGCATGATCGCCAAAAGTGGGAATAAACATATCGACATCGTCCGAATATTCCATGCAGGCGCATATACAATTTTGCTATAATATTCTCTGATAACCTTGTAATTTATGAGACGAGAGAACTTTAATAAACTCGTCCAGTTAACGAACCTTTTTAATATTGCGTGCTCGATTTAATTTTTCAATTTCTTTTCAACTCGCGTAATTGTGACTTTTGAGATTTAATTTCCACCTCTTGCTATTTGCATAACAAAATTATGAAAATCATTGTATCATTATTATGTTATTGCGTAGTTGCGTCTTTGTGAAATCTCTTGTCGCGAGTTAATTAAGTTCGGAGGAAATTCAACGATTGTCGTTTACCTTGCAGCGAGGACTGGTACAAGGACGACGACAAGAAGCCGTAAGGAAGTCGTCCACGCTCATCTGTCCCGCATCGGGACGCCGCACGTTCACTTTAATCACCTGTCACCCCCTTCGCCCAGCGTGTAACTCCATGTGTGTGTTTAGCCATTTGAATGCCTTGGAATACATTTTATTTTTACTTTATTAGTCTTCGATCAGTCAATCGAAACCCGACTTCCTTTCCCCAGTTTTCCGTTAATCAAAACGCGCCGGAGATTTGAACCGAGATAATGTTCGTTTTCCTACCAAAATCGTACAATTAATTTAATTACTTACGCAATGAGGAAAATCGCTCGTCGTTACTTCGAGTCGATTTGTATTATTAATGCAAGGAGCCTGTGATTATATAAATTTGGAATATTAATATCTTTCTTCGCGGAATATTAAAATTAAAATTTTCTAAAGCGGCAAATATTGTCTCTCTTTGATCCCGCTGGATCATTCAGCCTTTAAATAAAACTCAGTTTGTGTTGCACGGTAAATAAAACGAGAGAAAGAAAGAGAGATCTGTTATTAAAATTAATTATCTGGCATCACGCTTCACCGATTTTAAAATGATTTTAATATTGCTCAGGAGAAGTTAATGGTGACTCAGTTGCCGATCGATTCTCGAAACGGTATTCGAGGAACGTGTAAGAGGCCTTGAATCATTCTCGTTATGAGATCAGTTGACTATCACTTTCTCCCGAACTGCTCTGTTGTTTCTCGTTCTGTGATTCACTCTCTCGGTCTTTCCCTCATTCTCTTTCTCGTATTGCGTCGATCACGGGCGAGAGACGGGCTCGCTCGCTTCGTTTTCCCAAACATTTGTCAACGATGCGGTACAAGAAGCTTTTCCGAACTTCGCCAAATGAGAGAAAAAAAAGACAGGAATACGAGATGATAATTTTGAGTCCTCACAGTAATAAAACAAATTTATTTAAAATAAATAAAAAATTCACGAAAGAAAAAGACAGAAAAAAATATTAGAAATAAGTCGTCGTAACTCTAAGCCCTTTAGTAAAAAGCACCGCAAAAAGAATAGCAATTTTATGTTCACGACGCACTGGACTACAGAAATGTCGTTTCTCAGCGAAAGATCAATTTATTTCTCTCGCGTGGCAGGTAAGTTGAGTTATTATGCACGGTATTCTTCCATTTAACTTTCCAATTCGCGAGCGTCCGTCGCAAATGCCACTTGCCGAACACTTTTTGAAGATTAAATCTGCTCGTTAGACACAAATTAAATTCTGCACTCATAACGTAATATTCAATTCAACACTTTTTGAAGATGAAATCTGCTCGTTAGACACAAATTAAATTCTGCACTTGCAATGGCGGTATTCAATTATTGCGATAATCTTATTGTTTGCAACAATTATGATTTCTCCTGAGAATAAAATAAGAGTTTTTTTCACGGTGAATGTTGACACAAAATTAAATGGCGTTTTAAAAATATCTTATTTAGAAATATGTATTTTAATTATTCTGAACAAACAATTTCATAAGATTGTATTTTCTCCTTACGGAAATTGTTAATTATTGTACGTAATTGATGCATTAACTTAAATAAATGGGTAATTCTGTATCTGACATTTAGCAGGTTTATACAAGAAAAAATGTATACTGCTGATATCAACTTGCGTTTCTATAACTTGAATAATATTTTAATAATATTCTAACATTTGCTCGAAAATACGTTTTGAAAAAGTAATAATAAAATAAATAATTAGAGCGTTCAGTTGAGATAATCAATAATTGTGTAGTTACGATAGTTTAGTTCTCAGGTATCGAATTGTTTCGTCTAGATCTGCAAAATTATTACTTTGTTTTCTCCGCAACTATGCACAGTGTAGAAAGATAGTTTTAGATAATTAATTGGCGTATTAATCGCTCTATTAACTTAAACAAATAGATAATTGTTTCTCTCCGAACCCACGAAACAATTTCTCTCGTTCCGCTTTCAAAAATATCTCGGCTATCTGGCTGATGAAATTGATCGGAGACTCAAGACAAAACGTAATACAGCAGCCGCGTTTGCACGTAGGTCCGAGGCGTGAAGTGAGGGATGCAAATCGCGAAACGGTAGCACAACAGCAGCGACCCAATCGGGCCGTCGACACGCGGAAGTGTCCCGGAATTTATACGCGCTGATAATAACGCAATGCAATAAAACTTATGTCTATGCACCCATTAGAATGCACTCGTGACGGGGGGAAAAAGAGCAGGGAAACCGCGGCTCGATCAGAAAGAAAGAAAGAGAAAGAAAGACAGGACTTTCGGCGAAAGGGGGGCGAAGCCGTGAGGAGGGAGGGTCGGGAAATGTGCAGCAGCAAGGACCTACCAAGGTGGTGGCGAGACTGTCGAGTGAAACAGAACCCGTTTCGGACTCGCAGTCACGTTTTATCAGCGTCGCGACGCGTTGCTGCCGACGAAGTCAAAGAAAGGAGGCCGAAGGAGACAAAGAAGAAGAGGAAGGGAAGGAGAGACAGCCTCCTCGATACCTACAGGACGGAGATCTGAAAGACTTTGCGAGGCAGAATGACGGGAGTGGAAAAGCACGTGATTCTTCGTGGTCTTCTGCCACTGGTGATTCTGGCGACCTTGGGCGACGCCCAGGCCCAGTTCCGGTGCCCGGAGCCCAAGGGCTTCTTCCCCGATCCGGAACAGTGCGATCTTTATTACGCCTGCGCGGACGGCCAGCCCGAGGAGAAGCTGTGCAAGGACGGACTCGTCTTCAGGGATGACAACCCCAAGAAGGAACTCTGCGACATACCGGCGAACGTGCCCTGCGGCGACCGCACGCTTTTGCGTAAGTTCCAAACCGTTAGATCCCTTAAACCCATTGGATCTTTCTTAATTATTGCCTACAAATAGATTCATCTACGATTATTATGATTGTCAATGATTTAAGAGAGAATTAATTTCTCTTCGGATTAGAAATGAACAGAAGGATATATAAATTGTTCTGAGATTTATTAAAGAGTTTTACGCATAAAAATGGATTTGCTATTTAAAATAATATATTTATTTTTGTTCGTATCATTTAATTTTATATTCATAGGCCATTTTGTGTAAGTTTCAAACCTTTAGATCCCTTAAACTCATTGGGTCTTTCTTAATTATTGTCTACAAACAGATTCATCTATGATTATTACTCGGATTAGAAATGAACAGAAGGATATAATTGTTCTGAGATTTATTAAAGAGCTTTACGCATAAAAATGTATTTGCTATTTAAAATAATATATTTATTTCTATTCGTATCATTTAATTTTATATTTGTAGGCCATTTTAAAGTCGTTTAAACAGATTCTCGTTCGAGGTGGAAATTCTTTCCACACTACCCGATTAAAGGAAGTGAGTTCTACAGTTATATATGATATTTCTTTTATCCTCTTTTGCATATTCTCCTATAACTCGACAAACCAGAAGAATGGCCGATTACACAGCGTTGCAAAAATAGAACTCGGTGTGAACCGGTTTTTAGACGAACGGACAATCGAATTCTCACGGGCTTGGTCTTTTTCGCATTTCCTCATAAGTAGTCAAATCTGATCGTAATATATAGGTCGTAGAGAATTAATCGAGTTAAGCAGAAAATCTATGAAACATAAAAACAATATACCAAGATACATTTAATCGAACGAAACTATAATCGAATTCAAGTTAAACAGTTTTTATATATATTTTGAAACGTTTCCTGTAAAAATTGATATCTATATTAATCGTTAAATCATTCTATTAAATATTCAATTTATTCTAAAATGAAAAATAATAAACTCTATTTTTAATTAAATGTCAAGGCAAATGTAGATCTCGAAAACTCTGCTATATCGCAATTATATAATACAAATTATATATATATATAATTAATATAAAACTTACGTAATCATATATACCTTGGTATTACGTAATAACTTGTTTGCAACGGAACAGAGGAGCCGCAGCCTAGCAAGGGGTGCCCGCGCGCGAACGGCATCTTCAGCCACGAGGACGCGGCCGCGTGCGACCGTTTCGTCAACTGTATCGACGGGGTGGTGCAGGTGGTGCCCTGTCCACCCGGGCTGATCTACGAACCTAAGATGTCGAGCTGCGTCTGGCCGGCGGACGCTAGTCGTCCGTGCGAGAATATGAAGCGCGACGTCCTGGACGACGGCTTCGTGTGCCCGGACGGCGATGTCGCCGGCCCCTCCGGCAGCATCCTGCCGCACCCCACGTACCCACATTCTGAGGACTGCGCCAAGTTCTACATCTGCAAGAACGGCGTAGTGCCGCAGAAGGGCCAATGCGAACCCGGTACTGTGTACAACGAGGAGAGCTTCAGGTGCACCGAGCCGGAATACGTGCAGGGATGGTGGGTGTCTTGTCCCCCCCCCCTTTTTTCTATATCCTCGGTAGAATCTTTCGTGACGCATATAAAGTAAAGTCAACGGCACACGATACTATTTTCCCTACCGGATTGCTTACGAGAGCCAATCAGGATTTAGCCTTAGGTCACTTGATCTAAAGCTCCAGTAGAAAAAATACTATCGCGTGTGCCGTTGGCTTTACTCACAACTGATGTTTTTTCAATGACAGATTTCCTCGCGAATCTGTGAGACCGGTTTCTTAATTACGCTCGTCCTTAAATCTTCGTATTCTTGTCTCAATAGTTACTCATCTTTCTACTTCAAATTCCCAAATTGCGCTCACTCTGAAAAATATGCCAGATCGCTCCTTATAGCAAAATGAATGTTTCAGCGAGGACTATTACAAGCACAAGAACTGATTGCGAGTTGGAGAACCGAGGGGTGGCGCAGTTAACCGCAGCTACGTGTGTAATGCTCATCATTTTACTCATAGGAACAATAAATGCATGTGATATGCACGCTTACGTAAAAGTCGCTGCGTGATCTTTGCGAGAGCAATCGCGCTTTCGCCCTCCTTGTGACGAATTACTACCCCTTTCTCCTTTTACGTAAACAAATTCGCCTTCGGAAAATCCGTAATAAAGCCGTCGTCGGTCGCGGCTCATTAACCCGCGACAAGAAAATCCCGCGCGGTCCGACGATATCAAGTTCTATATAACATCCGTTAGATAAACCCTCCGTTCTGAACCGGTCTGATTTTATGTAATTATCGATTATGTCGAAATTTTATTGTAAAAGCGCGTACATACATATGCGAACGCGTCGCTCGCAATTCCGCGATTAAATAACTCAAGGAATGAAATTTATTTATTATATTCTAATGGGGAAATGAGTCTTTCACTCTGGACTCTGTCTTAGGTAACACCATTTTTAGCTAATGTTGTAAGAATTACGTACTGTTACGTCTCGATAATTAAATACACTTTGTATGCAAGATGCCCCGAAAGGTTTAGAAATTCTTTCACAAGTCTGGAGTTGACTTTACCTCAATCGGAGTTTTTTCGTGCAAAATTGTTTAAGACTTTTTCATTGGATATTAACTTGGCTAAAATAGAATTACGAAATTTATTGGATAAATAATACGTTGCTTAAACGCACGATTTTACGTTCATTTTTCTTACGAATTCTTATTCTAGCAACGAAACTTAAATTCCTCTAGTTTCGGAGGATAAAGGTAGGATAAAAAAGTGAATATTTGTATTGGAATATAAGTACTTAATCGCGAATTTTTCATCTCAGACTTTATCAAAGATATTATAAAAACACTTATGCAAGTTTTAACTTATACATGAGAAATAAAATAAAATAGAATAATAAATTAATCAAATAAACAAATTTTAAAATTATATGTATGGTTATGTTACTTCTCTTGGACTCCACAAAATATTCTTGACAACGAAAATCTAATCCAATAAATACAGAAAAATTTAGAGCTTTCTAAAGTTATATTTTTAATATATTATAAACGTAACGTAGATTATCAGAAAAACGTTAATATAAAAACTTATCAATAAGATTATTATTAGATTAGGAATTTAGACGAAAACATTGTTTACTTTTTTATGTCTGTTTAAGTCAAGAAGAAAAATTTCAGCAGAAATTGAAGAGAATTAATTAAGCGAGATGTAATTGTTTTTGCATTGCTGTAATCAAACGCATTTTGTATTATGTTTATAAGTATTTGTGTAAGTTAAATCACGTGTGTTACAATGAGCATGACTTTCTCTGACGGGAAAGATTGCGGATCGAAAATCTCCTCACCCCACAATACTCCAGAGCACATCGCGAAATGCACTCGCGAAATTACTTCTTCGAACACATCCTGGATTTCACTGCGGTGAGTCAAATGTCAGTACGAGAATTAATTAACCCATCCATCATAAGATTACATTGCAACATCTGACGTTACAGATGTTAGGCCTTCATTCCTATTTACGTTTGCTAAAATATTTTTGGCTCTTTAACCAAAGCGAAGAAAAATTAACTAAACATAATTTTTCGTAGTTTATTATATTTGTTTCGCAATTCTTATTGCGCGTTATTGAAAATTTGTTTTATTTCTTATATTTTACGTACTTTCGAATATTGGAAAACTGCAAGAACTGCTTGGCGAGTCGGCGCGATTTACGATGCACAATAAACAACACGCTACGGTTTTCCGAGCTAACAATTTCTCTTCACTTGCCGATCGCAACGTTTCTTTTTACGTAATTCGCGGAGCACTCGACGAAATATATCACAATTGTCCATTTACATTTTGTTCGCAACGCGAGATAAATTCGGCCCAAATAAATTTCTTATTCCCGATACTTTTGTGAAATATAAAAAGTCTTAATAAAATAATAAGAAAATAAAAGATAAAATGCGATACAGAATGCATATCTTTTCTTAAGAAAGATGAAATATATGTTTCCTCCTTTTTTTAGTATTTATTTATTATTCTATTACACTAACACCGTTTTATTATTAATGGAGCAGAGCATAGTCTGTCATATATGACTTCTTAGATAAGACGAGTTGTATGCTATTTCTCTGGCATTACAATTTCGACAAAATTTGCTCATAGAAAGTCTAAACTAATTAACTGACCGTCATCGTGATGTATTCAATTCGAATGCCCGACCGATCTGTCGACTTGTCCGACTCGCCTCGGCTGCTTTCACTATCCGGCAATCTGGTCCCTCCTCCGTGGGACCAGCGTGATGGGTCTTGCGTAAGTCTGGTTAAGGCTCTAGAGGCCTCACCGACGTGCGCACGCATCAGCACTCGCACCAATCGTTAATATACCGAGAACATATCTATCTGCGCGCGTACACGTTTTAGACATTACACGCGTTCGGCAATTGCAACGCATTTACCTGGCGCGTATTACATCGTGGCCAGTGATGTCACGGAGGGGAGGATCGCGCCTTGGCATTAACCGTTACACGCAACGTGTCCTTGCTGAATTACTCTGGGAAAAAAAAGACAGCAACCCATTTTGGGGCCGATAATTAGTAATCAAGCTATTTGGATTGTTCGTAAGACTCTACTCTGGGAAAAATTTTGACCGTTTTTTTTTATAGTTAAGTAACTTAACATTTCGGTTAGTGCCATTTAAGTGAAAATTTTCGCGTTACTGCACATCGACAGAACTAATTGAGAGAATTGATTAGTATTACTTAAAAATCTTGGGTATAGATAGAATAGCTAATTGCGATTTTTAGTTATGCGAGGTAAAATTCGTGAAAGATTAGAAGAATCCAAACAATTCGATCACTAATTGTGGGCCCCAAAATGGGTTGCAGTATTTTTTTCCAGAGTACTGTGTCCCGTTTTCCCTAAGAAATTCGCTCTTCTTCCGCTGACCCCTTGGGAAAATATACCTTAAAATTTTACTTTACAAGAAAAGAAATACAAAAAGTAAATTTGGAAACTTGAAACTCACTTTAAGAATTTAAAAGAAAACTTCAAGAATCGTGAAAAGTATGTGATATAATTTGCAATACCGCGTGCGGTTTTCTTCTTGCGAGAAAGTGCTATGTCGCGCGGCCATCTAGCGGGAACTTCGATAGGCTTGGCTATCTAAAAATTACTTGAAGTGTCCAAAATCACTTAAAAATTTTCTAAGTAACTTTTCACTTCTTTAAATAAACTCTTAGATTTGAAAGATCACTTTTAGGTACTTTAATTTCATTTAAAGTGAATTTGCCCGAGGGACGAAAATCGTGTTTTTAGTCAAAATTGACACTCGCACGAATGGTTCAAGTAGAATCAACGACTATAATCTAAAAATGTTCAAGACAGATGTTTCTTACAATAATAATATTTTACTAATTCCCGACTGCTGTTGGAAACGAGTCGTAATTTTCGAATTTTCAAACGGAAACTCCATCCATTTCCTAATCAGGGAAAGCGGATTATTGATCAATAGCGTTATCTTTCAAGCCCGTGCACTATAATCGCGCCATGAGCGCGATTCTCCGAATTGTTATTTATGCGTGGCGCTGAATGATATGATAATGTGATAATTCCACTTGCCGTTCACCAAAAGCACACAAATGCCGCGCGGTATTAAGCGCGCGGAAAAATAATGAGTACGCTTGTGCAACGCAGAGTTAAGTGCAGAGCGTTCGTGTCGGGGACATTGCATCCTCAGACATTTCGAGAGGCGCAGGAAGACTTTGGCATTAAGTCTAACGTCATCTATTCACACGCGATGCGTTCTCCCGCGATTTATCGCGATGCCGCGAGAGATTGGGAGACGATTAGAAGTATGATCGCGTAGTCGCTGCTTCGCGGCCAAAGAGATATTCTTCGTTTCTTCGCGGATTACGCAAGGCGTGCGGTGAGTCCTTAGCCGCTTAAAAATAGATTCCCCGACAGCTTTTCCGATACCATGATTGTTGCAAACGTGCCTATTACGATTGTAGAATTAATTGGTTTGTCATATTTAATCGCCACATCCGGCTTCTCGTGGATTTGGCCAATAATGTGACTTCTTGTCCCGAATGTGCGTAATAAGGTGACGTTTTGTTTCTCAAATTCACACGATTCTATCGAGTTGACTCGTAAAATGATAAAATTCATGTTTCATTGTCTGGAAAAATCACGGACGCGTAGGAGCCTGCAGAGATTAGGTATCCTGCGATTTGGCAGACTCGTTCCTTCCTCGTTGGCTTCTAATTCGCGACACTCTAACAGGAATTATTTGCCGATGCATGTTTTCACGCACGTTTCGCACACATTCTCGAGAACTCTTTCCCGACTTTCTCCAGCAGCTTCGCAATTTATTCGGCTTAAATTCGCTCTTCTCTCTCGAAATCGATGTACCTCGCGACACCGGGGGACCTAAGCGCCGGCACCTGGACAATTCATCACGCTCGGCGCCGCTGGCGCGGCAGGCCGAACACGTAGGCAAACCAGTGGCGACCAAGGGGGATCCTGGTGGGGTTCGGCGAAGCCGCGGTGAAGGGAGTGAAGGGAGACGGGACCGTCCGGAGGTGTACCGCGGCCGTCACCTAAAGTGCGCGCCAATCGCCAACTTCGCCGTCAGAGACAGTAGTCAAGCCGAAGAGAGTGCCGGAAAGATGAGCTATTCGTGGAGCGTGACCCTGCTGCTGCTCCTGGCAGTCCTGGCACGTGGTAAGTCCACCACCACCGCCGCCGCCAACCACCGTAACGTTGCGTAGACGAGGTGGTTACCTTCACCTCGCCTACGCGCGACCCTATACCTCCGCATCGTACGTGCATCTTCCGCATCTTCGGTATGCGCTTCTCGTCTTCCTCTGTGCACCGAGGACTGCTTCCTCGCAGGCGTGAACGCTTTCTTCTTCTCCATGGATTCCCGACAGGTTGCAACATCAGGCTCGGGCCCACGGGGGCTTTCACCGACGAGACACCATATGTTAAGATCCGCGCGTGTGACATAACGGCGGACATTCCGAGGTGATCGATGGAAAACGTAACGGGGCGATCTGCGACGTAGCTCAAGTGTGCAGAAGGAGTTTTCGATCATTATTTCTAATAATGAACTTTTATTTCTCAAGGGGACTCCTCAAAAAATCGTTGGACGTTTCGACTTATGTTTCGAAACAATCTGCTTTTAATTTACTTCACTGTATTTTCGTACGCTCGCGAGACTTTCTTGAAAAATAATTTTGATTTATCGACCGTCGTTATTTTTCTTCGGTCTACATTTCTTGTTGTAAGTCGTTCATGTTGCCGTATCCTTTTTGCATTTCTGTATAGGGAGATAAATATGGTGCCCGTTACACTCCGCCACGCTGTCGCAAGTTTCGCTTTCGCGCGTCGCGAAAAAAGTTTAGGAGAACCGATACTCGCGAGGCCGTCATGCGAATCAAATCTTTTCAAATCGATACGTCAACCAAATTCAATCGGCAAAATCCCGTTTTACATCGTTTTCGATATATTCATTCGTTTATTATATTCCACGGAGCAAGGCAATGTGTCGCAAAATGTGTTACTTTTAAAAGAAAATCGAGTTGTATAAGCTACATAATTTACGCTTTGTCAGTGTATATATATATTTCTTTCAGGGTTGTGAAAGTTATTTTATAAAAGTATCCAATTACAGTTACAGTTTTCTCGCTAAAAATGCGTAACTAGTTACAATTATAAGTTACCAATTCTGAAAAGTAACGGGTCGTTACTTTCTTGCAATGAAAATAAAAATATCAAATCGGCATTTGGATTGTAAAGCGTCGATAAAGGCGTTTATGCGCAAATGCAAGGCCTAATGCGATCTGTCGAGGTTTGAGAAAGATATAAAGTAACTATTAAATTAGTTACTAGTTATCGAAAACATGTAACTGAGTTAAGTTACAGATGGAGAGAAAGTAACGAAGTTCAATTAGAATTACCAAAAAGAAGTAACAGTAACTGTAACTTCGTTACAATAAGTAACTTACTTCCCAACCCAACCCTGATTTCTTTTCACATAATTATGATAAAACACATTTTGCTTTCATCTTCCGTCAAAATGTATTTGCATATACAGGGTGTACTAAAACCACCCGAATATCCTTTTAATCGCAGATTCCTTAGAAAATTTCAAGAGGAAAATTCTAATAAAAAAATGTCGAGGCTATGATAGTTTTTAAATAATAAGCGATTATATTTCACAAATGACAGGTCTGAGATTTCGCGCGCTCAGGCACGGCGACATGACGAGTGATAAAAGTGTTCCTATGTGTTTCGCGAGCGAGCGAGAACCAAAGTCACCGTTTAACGGGACAGAAAATATTTGGGAAGACGATGATCCGATTATTTTGAAAACTTGAGGATAAAGAGAGGCAGGAGACTAGATTGAATCTAACTGAAAATTCCAAGTTCACTCAGAATATCGGAGATCGACTAAATCGAAGGATATCAGTCTGATCAAGATGCTCGTCATAGTGAAACCCTCCTTTTTATTAATAAAACGTTACACAAAATTAACAAAAGAAATGGTTAAAGATAACAAGAGGAACAATTAATTCGAGAATGAATTGTTAAGTCTGTTGTGAAAGTTGTCACTATGCTAAAAAGGGCGATATTCGGAGGAACACCTTTATCACTTGTCGTGTCGCCGTACCTGAGCGCGCGAAATCTCAGGCCTGTCATTTGTGAAATGTAATCGCTTATTATTTAAAAACTATTATAGCCTCGACATTTTTGTATTAGAATTTTTGTCTTAAAAGTTTCTAAAGAATTTATGATTAAAAGGATATCCGGTGGTTTTAGTACACCCTGTATATATTTCCTCAAATACTTGCGGAAGAATATTGCATTTATATAAAAATACAATATACAATATATATAATATAATATAACAATATATTATTATATTATATAATAAAATATTGTTGTATAATAAACAATATTGTACATAATATAAAAAAATATATATAATATACAATAATGTTTTATTATAAAATAATATTTAATTATATTACACAATAAATTGTAGTGCTATTAAATTATAGTCGTATATTATATTTTTATGTAATATATGATAATTTAATAGCACTACAATTTATTATGTAATATAACAAAATATTATAATCAATATGACGACTTGGAATACGTATGTTACATTGAAGATAAATTGCGTCTTGCTGTGTTTCAATAAATATTTTTGCGTAAGAAATATCATAACGTCATTAGTGAAATTGCATGTCAATGTCTAAAGATTCGTTGCTAATGGAGAATTATTGTTTCTCACGTCACATAAAATTCTTAATTTCACAGCCCAAGGTGCCACCCTGCTCGATGCTCCGCCATGCCCCGATCCTTACGGGATCCACGCTTACGCTCACCCCGACGACTGCGGGGCCTTCTTCTTGTGCACGAACGGCACGCTGACCTTCGAATACTGCGAGAACGGACTTCTGTTCGACGGACACGGTGCCGTTCATAATCATTGCAATTACAATTGGGCCGTCGATTGCGGTAATCGCAAGGCCGACTGTAAGTACCGCGCTGCGTTTCATGATATTTGAGCCGCTTTTACTCAAAGTTTCTTTAATCTTTGTTCGTCTCATTTAAGAGAAATATTGAACGCTTGACAAAATGTTATTCGAATAAGCGCCGTCATGGCGTAGAAGAAAAAAACATGAAATAAGAAATTTAAGATATACGATTAAATAATATTAATAGTTGATGTACCATTCTATTATTATTGAAATTTATTATTATAATATTATCGATGCTGCTATTTACTATTGTTTTCTTGTTAAACTTGTAACTTATATATGTAATTGTAAAAATCAGTCATGTGTGCGAAAAAAAATTATCGGGAAAGTAAGAGTCGCACGAGACAAGTGATTTTGGCGGCGCTTTAGTGGGTCACGTTAATGTCAATCATCGTGATTTCGCCTTCGATCGAATCTCCTTTGATCGCTTATCTCTCAACCGGCTCAACGTTTCAACGCAATCGCATGACTTTCCAGTTACCAGTCTTGTTTTTCATTACCTTATTGCACCACAAAAGTTGATACAATAAGTATTAATAAAAATCCGTAACAACGCATCGTTATTTTGCTACGCGCACAGGAGAAAAAAATTCACCCGTTTATATTTCATTAAATAGGTACTTTTTTCGGTCAGGAGGGTTTAGACTTGTCGACTTTTACAATGAAAAATAACGCGAAGTGAGAAAGCTCTTTTTTTGTCAAATAGCGCGTTTAGCCAATTTTCAAGTTCAATCTCCGGGATTCTCGATACGATGAGAAGCAACGATCCGTCCTCTTTGCAGACACGCCAATCAGCAGCCCGGGCTGCGAGTACCAGTTCGGTATGTATCCGGAGAGCGACAGTTGCAGCACCACTTACACGAAGTGCGTCCACGGTGATCCGCTTCAGGCTCACTGCGACCCGGGCCTGGTCTACAACGCCAAGACCCACACGTGCGTCTGGCCGGACGAGCTCATCCCCTACTGCAACCCCGAGACCGTAGTGGGATTCAAATGCCCGCACAAGCTGCCCCCCCACAGTCCCGCCGCCAAGTTCTGGCCCTACCCGAGGTAATCTATTACACATGCGTGCCACGCGATTATATACGAACGCACTTCCGAGAAATCCCTTACAGAAATGTAATAACTGGGAACGGAACCCCCCGTGGAAAAATATATTATATCTTTTATTATATATAAAGAAAAATAGAAATGGTACATTCATTTTATGTCACTCGTATATGCGATATAAAAAATATACCATTCATAATATAATATAAATATTTAAGCGAATGTGTTACATCCATATTGTAAATATGTAATTTATATATGTTCATGTATTTGACATATATTTTTATTATAACTTTGACATAATATTATATATGACTTTTAAAATAGAATTTCTATATACTAAATATATTACATATATTTTTATCTACATTTAAAAATATATTTTTTTCCATGGGGGAAAAAGCACTGAATAATTATTGGAGTTCAGTAATTGAATCATTTAAGGCCTGTGTCCACGATGCTAGACCTTGGTCCAAGCTATTTCATAAAAGCTGCAAGTTAATTGGCTACACATTTCTCGGAACTAGAACCTGCACCAAGTTCTAGCATCGTGGACACGGGCCTTTAGAAATTATTGACGTACAGTAATTTTCTAGTGATTATTTCGCTTACATTTCTGTAAGGGATTACTCGTAGTGAGAATCCACGCGGAAATAAAACTGCCGGGGATCAATGCACTACGGGCGGACGACATTGTATTTGCTTTCTTTCCTTATTCGTTTCTTGGAAGAAAAGAATTAGTGCCTTTGGCGAGCGGGCTCGTTATCAATATCACTGATAATTGACTCATTGATTAATCACTGAGCTCGCACTAATCTCCGCAACATAATATATTCTATTTGTTCCCGCTTATTTAAATCAATTTATATCGCCATAGCTTACATCTAATTTAAGTTTCTTGAAAGATCATATCTTGATGATTGATCGCATTCGAGATTCTCGATAGCTCAATACATTCTCTTTTAAGTAACTGTAATAAAATCTGGATATATTCGATCGTGTCGTCAGATTTCTACGCGTGCATCCATGTAAATCCACGGCTGTGTGTTTGTTGAAATGTGTGTGTAATTATTCGACCACACGCAGCATGGAGCACTAAAATTTCTCTCTCTCTCTCTCTCTCTTTTTCATCTTGGTCTTTTTTCTCTCTCTTATTACGAGAAAGATTCAGCTAAGAAGAAATATTGTTCACCGCTGAAGATCATGAGAGTAAAAGGAATCAACGTCGTTAAATGTCAGATCGTTTGTGCGTGGCGTTTCGATTTAAGGTTTGCCGGTCGTCTTCCGAGAAAAACCGAGAGAAAGAGATAGAGATGGAGAAAGAGACGGAAAGATAAATGCCGACGCGCCTGTTTCATTTGAATATTCAATCTTTTGCTACGAACACGGTAGTCTTTTCTGCCAAATTATGCCAAGTTAGGCTGCCGCGAGGAAGAGCAAATGTCGAGGAACGAGATTTAAGATGGAGAAAAATAGGAGTTCACTACAATATTTTGTAGTTGCCACAAATTTTTGAGTCGTAGATATTTCACTGTGAATTTTAAAAGCGAACGATTTTTATCAGACGATATTAAACTATAAATGGAGACTTTTAAATCTATTCAAACATGTGCAAATGGCGCGATTTTGTAGATTCCCCGTGCCGAGTGATTGCGGTAGGTTGATCACCTGTGTGGACGGACATCCGCGACTTCTCACCTGCGGAGAGGGAAAACTATTCGACTCGGTGAGCCTGACTTGCCTGGACCCGGACGAGGTTCCTCACTGGTTCGTACAATTTACGTTTTAGAAACTACAGATCTTAACTTCTGCTCGATTCGGCACGAACTCAAGCTATCTTCTTGAGATATATGGAGATATATGCTAAACTGAATTTAGTTTAATGCAGAATGTATGTCAGTGGAAATATGTTAATTTTCTAACTGTATATTCATGTGTCTTTCAGTGGAAATGGTGTTTAAACTTGGAGACACATTCCTGACAATCACCCGGTACTTCAAATCAACGATACAAATATAATCAGCGAACATCAAACGACGAAAAATTATATGTTCGGTTATATGAATTAAATTTCGGCAAAGAGATACAACAATATTAGCTCAAGATTTGCAGATAAACCTAAACGAAGATTATCATACGAAAAGTTGAATTATCACAGGACAAGATTGATTCTAGAAATTGAATCGAATTGATTAAGAAAGTTACGAAAACATCAGTCATAAAAAATCAAGAGAATCGCGAGTATATAAATTACAAGATATTATTAATACTTTTATACGGAGAACAATTAGAAGAAATTAATTGGTAGAAACAGAATAAATGACATGTATTCCTGTTAGATTCGATTTTGGTTCGGCGTTGCCAATAGACGAAGATGTATCAAACGTAAATTATTATTAATAATAGACGTTTAAAGGGGACCAGTTGCATGTACAGTGCGTGAAGAGCAAGTACGATATGTAGTACATATAGTGTGTTTATGTAATACGATATGTAATACATATAATGTATTTATGATAAATATAGTAACAATGTACAGCCAGGCAACATTGAATAAAATCTGGACATGCGTATAAAAAATATACAACGTACAGTTTATTCCAATCGATCTACATATACGTGGTACGAGTCTTACGTTTACGAGAGCGCGGGGCGCGGGGGAAGGGAACGGGAAGTGAGAGGATGGGGGAAAATATTTACATCTCGACTGATGCGATGGAGGCGAGTGGAACCGAAACACGAGATGTTCATTAATTAATATTATCAATTAATACAAACCCCCATTGAAGAGGAAGAAGAGCTTGGTCGGTCAAAGACATGGACGGATCGATGAATGTCGACAAGTCTCGGCCCTCAAAAATAATGAGTGTAACTTTGTTTCTAAAAACCAATTCCGTGTTTTAGCAAATGCGTTATTTAATGTGACTTTTCATGCGCAATTGACGTCTTAATTGACATTTTTCACGAGACTTTTATTTTACGCCGTTTGAAAGTTTTGAGACCGGGGAGGTCACATCCTTGGTTGATTTTATTATAACCTTTCGAGATTTGTGAAAATATTCACGTGTCTTTGAGAACTTGTATCGTTTGCCATTAAATTTTTCTAGAAAGTTTCATCCAAGTTTTTACGTAAGTTGAATTATCTTAGATCTCGAGTATAATTTATTCGGCTGATAGTTTCTCACGAATGCAATTTTATTCGTGAATTAATTGAGATAATGAATTAGTTGCTGACTAATTAGGAAGAACCGAATCGTGTAATTATAAGCTGCCTCTCACTTTTACTCAAATTTGAATTTTACATTCGCATCTGAAAATCAAATCCTTGTGGCGGAGGTGAAATAAAGATTTTACCCAGGAGAAAGAACGGGACTTTTCCTCGAGGACTTGCGGTGTGACTTATCCGACATTCGGGGTAATTTCGGGGTAATATAAACAAAATCTCAAAGTATAAGGGATCTCAAAAGTCGGACCCCACGAGAATTCTAGAATTACGAAATTACGGAACTGCAAGATCGCGCGAGAACCTGGGGGAGACTCGACGAGAGAACTTCTCGAGTTCTTCGCACCGATCGACGATCTCCGGGATCTCGCTCGTCGAGAAGGGATCTGGCGCTTCCTTCGTCCTTCCAGGCCGGATAGGACAACCCGGCGACTTTAGTTCCTGGGGCGCGACCGTAGGGGAATCGGCAGGGCGCCCGACGGTAGAGGTGACACGCCAGGTGGCAGGTTCTCCTCTTCAGGCTCCTGCTCGTTGCGACCGTCGGACAGCTCGCCCTCGGTGGGCGGCGGTGTCGTGGGTACGTCGCAGTCCTCCGTCGGCGGCACCACGCACCTCAACGACCTCCTGTCGAACACCAGCATGGCCGGGCAGCGCTGCAACCGCGGGTAACCGCCCTGACACTGCCAGTAACGGTTGCACGACTTGCCCAGAGGCACGTTGCCGTTGGCGTCGTCGTTGCAGAGTGCTGCAAACAGGCCGCGTCTTACTCCTAGACTAACTGGGACGCGTGCCTATATAGGGCTTTCGACGCCGCGAGGAGCGCGTTAATGATAGGCGGAGATACGCAATGCCGTATTGTTCGTATGCATACACTGAGAAAAATTTCCATAGGATAAACCAATTAAATAGCGTTTCCGATGGTTCATTTTTCCGATTGCGGTTCCCGATTAAATTACGGATACAACCGGTGAGATTTGATCGAAAAACCGATCATATTTTTCATCGGATATATCCGTTTGTTATTATGTAATTGGATTATCTGATTATATTTAATCGGACATTTTTCTCAGTGTAAAAATATATCGGTCACTAGCCAGAATCACTATTGTCTTCTAAGGAATTTTATTAAGAGGCTTAAGATGTTTTATTAAAGTAAAAATTAAGCGTTCCGAGCATACGGCATTGCGTTGCAAATTGGCCGGACGTTTTTGATAAATTTCTTGTTGCTTCGTTTGCGAACTGACGCGACTCGGTGAAAGTCGAAAACTTTCATTCGGGATCTACCAATCGTGGATTAATACGAAATTTAATTATGTAGCTCTTTTTTCCTTCTTTCACTCTGCACGAGTGGAAGTTATCGCCGCGATTTTCGAAACTTCTCAGAGAGTTCCAAAAATATAGAGTTTACCTCTCATTAATTATTAATTAAATGTCATCGATAATTAAACAGAGCATTTGCGTACGTGAAGAATCACGCACGCTTTAATCCTTGTTCGTCGTCGTTTTCTTCCTAATGTTTCTTTCGAGATATCGCAAACAATATTTATCTGAATTTCGAAATATTTTCCATTAGTTTTAACCTTTTGAAAAAGGGATGTGATCTCGCGTGCGATCGATGCATCGACTGGCGTTTGACATTCAGAGAGAGGCGATGCGAATTAATAAACGCGTCTTATCGGATCCCGAGGGCGAGGAGAGGGGGAGAAAGGCGCGACGAGAATTCACTTCGAATGCTAATTAAGTGCCTCGCCCATTTTTCCTTGGGGCACTGACTCCTGGAAGGAACCGAGAAGTAGGTACGAGGAAACGCATCGCGCGCGTCCCGTCCGCCCACTTTCGAAAGTGAAAATGACCGTCGACGATTCCGCTTCTCGTGCATTAAATCTGCCTAAAACTTACGTTTCACTGAATTCATCCGAATGCAATTAATTTCCGGTAACTCGGATAAAGAAAAAAAAAAAAGAAAGATTCAACTGGATTTGAGATATTCGATGAGAGTTGACGGTTATCCGCGAAATATCGCGCTAATTTCTTAAAACGCGTCACGGTTTTCAGCCGACGGCCATCAGCCACGTCGTTTCTTGCGCGAAATAATAAACTTCCGTTTCACCTCTCTCCATCAAACGTCTCGAGTCTTGATAAATTCTACGCGTAGAAAAGTTTCTCTTAAAATTTATCCTGAAAATCGTGTGATCGTGAGACAACACGGCACTTCGAAGAATTTTAAAATTTACCATACATTAAAAAATTTTCAACTATATGAGTTTTTTTTATCACTTTAAAATATATGGTAAAATTTTAAAACTTTCATAAAATTCTTCGTAATGCCATGTTGTTCCATGATCATGATTTTCAGGATCAATTTAAAGAGAAAACATGGCATTTTGAACAATTTTATAAGTTTTTTATTACTTTAAAATGTATGGTAAAATTTCAAAACTCTCATAAAACTCTTCGAAGTGCCGTGCTGTCCCACGATCACATGGTTTTCAGAATAAATTTTAAGCGAAAATTCTTTCCGTGCAGTGACTTTTAATAAAATCCGCTCGCTACTTCTCTCGGCCTCTCAGGATCCTCGGTACTTACGATGCTTCTGACATCCCTCGACATTCTCGGGCCAGTCGCAGGACCTGGCCCGCTCGTTGTATAGCAGACCGCCTATGCAGAGCTGCTCGGTGGCGGTGCCGTTCCAGCAGGTCCAGTACCTGGTGCAGGACGTCTCGTGGCCGAAGATTCCGTACAGCCAGTCGCAGTGCTCGGTCGGGATCGGCGGATTCGCCTGGCGCTTGCCATCACAGTAGTTCGCACGCCACGGATAATCGCAGCCCTCGGTGACACCGCGGTGCTTGCCGGCGAACACGAGGCCGTTCGGACAGTCGAACAGCTCCGGGCGACCGTTCACGCACTCCCAATAGCGATCGCAATACTCGTTGTCGCCTACCACCCGCGACTTCGTCTGGCACGGGTCTTCCTGCTGCTGCTTCTGGCCCAGCGAACCTACAAGAGCGAAATTAAGCTTGAACGCTCGTCCTGCTAGCCGAGTTATCCTTCGTACTTCTCGGGATGGGATCATTTCGAGTCGTGTCTGGGATAATGCCGGGAAGAGAAATCGTTTTGGAAGATTAGGATGCAACTTGGTCCTTTGACGTGGAATCTAGGACAGCACTCATTTCCTTCGTATTCGTCTATAATTAATTTATGATTAAAGATGATGGTCTTCTTCTCTTCCTGGTTTCCTTTTGCCTCAATTCCCTACTTTCTCAACGTTGAGCGTTGCTACGTAAATTATCTACAAGCTCATTAATGAGCTCTCAAATTTACCTTCCAATTTATCGCGTCATTAACCTCCCTCGATAACTGTTAATTATCCTTTCCTTTCCCTTTCGTTCCCGTCTAATGAGCCGCGATTACGAAATATCAGAGTGCATATACCGACGTATCGAAATCACGAATTCCACCTGCACGTGTCCTCGTCGAAGGACACCGAGGGCCTCGGCGAATATCAAGGATACGCTGGCATATAAATTCGACCTTTTCGCAACGTACGATTCGGGAGTCACTTAACGTTATAATAAATCGGACTGTGTCGAGTCAATTCGAAAGTTACGATGCCATCCTTGTATGCGCGGAATTAATTAATCACTCAAGGATATCGTTCGATTAATACAAAATGGAATGCACATCCTTTTTCCGCGTTATGTAGAAAATATTTGATATTCCACAGGAGGATGACATCACGAATCTCTTCTCAGCAGCGAGAGATTATGCGCGATTCTTCGTGCAAGGACGCCCACATCGAAAGTGAAATATTGAGACTAGATGCCGATGTGTTGTCGTCCTTTCAGGATATATCTATTTTCATTCAAGACATTTCTGTCCCGAAGATATAAAAGTGTCATTTTTACGATTTTACATTTACACGGGAAGTGTCGTTTTTACGATTTTACATTTACATGGAAATATTTTACAACTTATCCTACAAGTCTCTCTACAAGATTCGAACAAGGCGCTCAATTTATTTGTGAACTGACAAAAATTTCCATCGGATAAACCAACTAAATAGCGTTTTCGATGGTTCATTTTTCCCGAGTACGTTTCTCGATTCGTTTGTTATTATGCAACTGGATTATCCGATTACATTTAACCGGACATTTTTCTCAGTGTAGCCTCGAAGAACGCTCGGAAGGTCCCGAAGTATAATGGTTTTCTATTTCTTGCCCCTTGTATTTTTAATCATAATTAAACAGGGAATTATGGAGACGTATCGTATTTTCGTTCGGGAACGGAGATACATGCACGAGTCGAGGGTACACAACATAAACTGCTGGCGCCGTTTTACCACGATGTCCGATCGTTTCGCTAATGATTCGACGGAAAAGCAAATAGTAAAATAAGGTGGGAAGCCGGCACGAGGCGCGCTCCCAAGACTGCTCTCGAGTGAAAGTGCCTAGCCTTGACTTGCAACCTTCGGGGGCAGTTCTGCTCCACACCCCTGCTCCACCTCTATGGACCCCATCGGTCCCCCTTTAGCGCACGAAAGATTCGATCGACCGGCCGATTAACCTAATGTCACCCTCCCGTCCTCGATTGCAGTTGGAAGGATATTCCATTATTATTATTGATAAAGTTATGCTAAAAAGTTTTCTCACTTTGGTCCCTTATGACATTTTTATTTTTACTCCGGTCGTCTTTACGTGTGTACTTTAGTCCTGATTCAACGCGAATTTTCAATTTGCTTGCTTCGACTGTGAATTTAAATTGTATTTTTGGTTAGCCGCCCAAGAAGTTAGTTGATGTTTGCGGTATAAAAGAGAATTCACGGTGATATTGATTAACTTTAGTTCACAAGGAAAGAGGCTCCCTTTGATTCCGTTCATCTTACTTTATGATACGAAAAGTATGAGTTGGCGCATCATTCGTCAACAATTTCAATTTCATTTCTCGTTTCTTATTTTTTTCCTCTCGCCCTATTCTCAATTTGTAAGTTACATTGTTCCGACCGCCCACCCTTAAGAGATCTAATCTGGGAATGGAATGGCGCCTCACGCTCTTGCTCAATCTCTTTCTCTCTCTCTCTCTCTCTCTCTCTTTCTCTCTCAGGGTCTACAGATCGAGATTGAGATGAAAAATAAAAGATCTCCAGAAAGGAACCGACCAGAATCTTCGACAGGCTCTGTCTCTCGGTGCACGGAGCGAAACGAGAGATCGTGACCCTATCTCTAAAACCATTTCGCAAGGGATTTCTGTAATGTGTGGTACCACGCCTCGAATCTTTTATTTCTATCTCAATCTTGATTACGTTATTAAAGTGACTTTAATCGCGAGACTCGTCATGCTGTATTATGTCGATTATCTTTGATTATAAAGTCCACAGCGTATTACCAGGGGCATTCAAAATGCATTTAGGAATACCGAAACGATGAAACTTTTTACATCTTTCAGGAAATTTCACAGAGAGGATCTTTCGACTTTTCAACATCTGCACGGGAAAAAATGCTGTCGAATTAAAAGAAATGAAGTTGCTTGAATTAAACGTTAACGTCACGGATTGCCACAAACATAAATAATTCGCTCCATTGTATTTGCTATGGATGTTAATTTTAAGCATTGGACTAAATATTCAGATTATTAAAACAACTGTCTGATGTTAAACGATTTTATTTCAACTTACACCGATCTTATTAATACAACATTTTTTCCCGTGTGCATAAAATCAAACAGAACAGATTCAGAGAATAGTGACTTTGATAGCAGTCGTGCCACTAATCGTCACGTTTACATGCTATAAATACACTTTTTTGTTATAGCAACAGAAGAGTTGCACGCTGTTGGCCAACTAGTCTGTGCGGATAAGGGAAGGAAAGCGAAGCACGATCGATCTCACGATACGAATAATCTCATGGGGAAGCAAGCTTTGCCCGTCTGAGAAAGAACGTCTAGAGACTGTGAGTTTCCACCGGCACGAGTTGCGTAAGCTGTGGCCTTAATTGTCGCTAAAAATATCCTTATATCTGGATCATTAAACATACAACGGCATTTCCCGGAATTATGTGTTTCCAAAGTTTCAAAATCTTCAATTGAATTTGAAAAGCGCACGAACCCAACTTGAAAACGTTTTCCTAAAATGTTCTTTCACGTGAAATAATATATAAATCGACGTGGAATTAAAAATTCCAAGAATATTAAATATTAAGGTTCATATTCTGAATCCTCTTTGATCGATAAAAGCGATTCTTATTGGTTGGAAGGATCTTTTACGGAACTAAAAGTTTTGATTCCTGAGACTCAATCTCTGACTGCAAATTTTAAGTCCATTTTTGTTTTCTCCATTTCTACCAAAAATTATGTAACATAAATTCTTTATAAAGTACACTTGCTATAATATCGATCTAAGGTAATACGTTTTTGTTAATTTTTTATCAATCAAAGAAGAAATCTAAGAAAGATTCTCGTCCTTTTCTCGCAAAGACACAAGGGGGAATTTTCGCTGCGATCATCGATGGCTATCCGGACAGTAATGCGATTACCAGGCATTATCCTTTGAGAATTATGCAAATGCCGTCAAGGGTCCGTAATAAGAGCCCGTGGCCACCCATGTGGGCGGTCACGCGGTCAAAAAGCGAAGAAGATAAATCCAGTTGGTCGTAAGACCGGCGCGATGAATCGATTTGCGCGCGCGGTCGTCACGGTGCCGCAAATAGGTGGAGACATCCACGGAGACGTCGTAGCGAATTACGCAAGCGAGACGCTTAGTTAACATGGCACCAGGTTACTTTCCCTTCCTTTACGACTCCTCGTAGGCAAGTAGCCGCCGAGCCGCAACGGCTTTAACTGCTTCACCGCAGAAAGCAGGATCGGCCCCGGCGGCTCTGCTCCTCGCGAGGATTTCACGCTCCGCGCGAAACACGGGGCCCCGGATGAGTGGCGGTTTAAGGAAGTTCCCCCTCGCTTGGATTTACGAGGAGTCGACTTTGTGCCGCAGGAGGAATTCTCGCGGCACGTAATACAGATTTATTGGCGGTTCGATGGATGATCAGCGCGAGAAACATCATCATTAATTTTTAGAAAGTACACTTGGGAAATAACGCGCGATAAAAGTGCAAATGTTCTAGCCTGGAAAAATGTCTCGCGTAATTTCGCCGTCGGGGGAAATGATTTTCTTGTACGAGATAGGGGACTAATTTGCAGCACGAAATAAATTTGGCTTAAAAAAAAGACGAATATATCCACACGCGGACTTCGCTTCTCTCCTTTCCCGGATGGATTGGAATTTAAATTCGTCGTCGTTAACATTTATCATTTTTGTTATTTCACATTTTTGTAGTAACAGTGGCTACCTGTCAAAATTCTCAATTAAATGTTGCGTCAACACTCGCGATAAAAACGTTTCCCGATAAGTTTCCTGCTATCGGATTAAATGTCACATAAATTCCGCATTACCGGATTAGGCGGGAAAAACGTGCTCGGTTTATTTTCAAATAGCAAATCATGAATCTCTCTCTCTCCCTTTCGCCTTCTCTCGCTTATTCTCGGCTTTCTCACGTTCCCTTCTATGATAAATAAGCAAACTCGATCCTTCTTGAGACCGGTAGAAGCCAAGGAACGCGAAGACGGTGCCCCGCCTTACTGTTCGACTCGGCAAAGTGCAACGTACCTCAACAAAAGCGTGTTCCGCTCGGAACAACAACGGCGTTTACGAGATCCATTTCTCCTTTCCTTCCTATTTGCACCCTTTTTATCGCCCAATCAATGATTTAAGTCGAACGAAACGTTTTGCTCGACGCCGTTGCACTTCCGGTACCGGCCAACGTTAACGTTGCAACTTTGCGCTGTAGGCGCGTCGGGAAAGCAAGCGTGGGAAGTAGATAGATAAATAAATGGATGAATGAACGGGACTTTTCTGTGCGAAGATTACGCACAGTGGCCGCCGATCAGTCCCGGAGTAATATCTCCAAATGTCGCCGTAGAAAGTAAAACCTCTTGCGTAAGCGTTGCAAAGTTGAGTTATCGATCATATATTTACGATCATATATTTTCGAGGAACCCGATAGAATCCCTCATCGCTGTCGTCCG